GCCAAATGTATTTATAGTTTTGAGTAGACTTGTAGTATGGACTTAAGCTTGGATGCCCCTCTGATTTCACGTTGACAGGCTAAATAAAATAGGTTTAAATTATCTCTAAATTCCTCCTCCTCTTGTTGGCTGTATGTGTTTTGCTGGTTGCACCTAGTCAAGGGTGGAATTTAGGTATGTGCTACTTACCAACCTCTCACTTAATAGAATAAGGTTATCTAGAGTGTGTTGTTGAAGGCTTTCATGGGCAGAATCAATGGGTTTCTGTGAGCTTTCCATGCTGTCTGGCCATGTTCCAGAAGCATTCTCTCCTGGCGTTTCACCCACATGTAGGACAGGTATCCTCAGAGGTGTTTGAGGTCTGTTGCAAACTAGGCAAGTGTGGTTTAGATATCTGTGGAATGTCCAGGGTGGGACAAAGAAGTATTGTCCATTGGAGGCAAGTGTGAATGTCACAGTTGCCCACATTGATTTCCATTTAATGGCCTTGCAGCTTTAAAGCCTGGCTGCTTCCTACCTGGAGGCATCCTGTGTTGGGAGGTGATTGAAAATGTGCAAAAAATGACCCAAAATTAAAGAGTAGCAAAGCTTCGATCCTTGGGGGAAACCTAGGAAATGTTGACTCTTATTACAGAAATAGCACTTATTGGTATATTTCATCTGAACAACGAGGGAAAGATGAGGAAGGTGTGTATGCTACACATATTATACTCCACTGCACAAATTGTGTAACCGTACAAATAATCTTACCCTCTGTATATATCTATATCTGAAGTTTTCCAGAAGGCAGCTTGCTTTTTGTATCTATGCATCCTTGGGGGAGGGAAAGAGGGGTGTTCAATTGATTCTTTTGAGACTGTAAAACAATTATTCGACAATGAACTTGGAAACTCTGCACCTGTATACGATTTTTTTAGCAATAAAGCAGCATGGGCTGAGAATGCACTAAAATGTCATTGTGTGGTTTCTTGGAGGAAGGAAATGTTGCAACTAAATTCTCTTGTATATGTAGTTTGAATGTTGTGATTTCCTAATTTTCCAAGGTTTTGCTGAATGAGAGCATTGTAACAGTACAAATCATCTAGGAATTCTGCCCTGAATGATATTCTCCTTCAGACCCCAAATTTCAAACACTGCAAAATTTTAACTGAAATGTTTTTATATACAGTATATGGCATTTTTTTTGCTGCTGACCCCATCAGACAGACATTGCTAAATGTCTATCATATACCGTATATGCTCGAGTATAAGTCAATCCAAATATAAGCCGAGGGTGGGATTTTTACCACAAAAACTGGGACAACTTATTGACTTGAGTATAAGCCGATGGTGAGAATTGTAGCAGCTACTGGTAAATTTCAAGTATTTTACCTGCCGAGGAGGACGTGAGGAAGGCCAGGGGGCAGCCGAAAGGAGAAAGGCTGAGCGTCCTCCTCTTCCTCTCCTTCCTCTTCCAAAGGAAAGAGAGGAACACAATGACATTCAGCCCTCAGCTGCGCCTTGCCGCTGCTTCATCCTCTTCCTCTACCTCTTCCGAAATGGCGCGGCTAAAGGCTGAATGTCATCCTCTTCCTCCTTTCGAAGCAGCACCACCACTGCTTCGTCCTCTTCCTCCTCTTCCAATGCAGTAACAGTGGCTGCGGGCTAAGCATCGTCCTCTTCCTCTCCTTCTCTTCTGAAGTGATGGTGGTGGCTGCTTCGAAAGAAAGGAGAGGAAGAGGACGTGGCAGCGGTGGAGGCTGAATGTCCTCCTCTTCCTCTCCTTCCTCCTTTGGAAGAGGAGGAAGCGGATGAAGCAGCAGCTAAAAAAGGGCTGAAAATTCGGCTTATATTCAAGTATATACGGTACTTATGAAAAGAGGAACCGAACGTTAGATGAGAAAAGCATAAATATAACATTTAAAATACATTAGTAGTAATTGCTGAAATTACTACTTGGTTATTTATTACTCTGATTTGTCACTATCATATACATAATCTCATATGCTTCAGTTTACTTTCTTAAATCCTCTTCAAAATGCTGTAGGGTGGGATTGTTACTTAATAAATTTCAAGTTGGCACAGAGCCTGGAGAAGCAGTGAGCACAATAAAAGGCAGATTTAAGATTCAAAGGAGGTTCAAGGCAGATTTAAGATTCAAAGGAGGTTCAAGGGGAAAGAGAAATAATGTTCCAGACCGAACTGTGTGAATTTCAACAGAGAGAAATGTAAAGTTATGTACCTAAATGTTGTACACCAGAGCAGAAAGACCTCTGATCTTAAACACCACACCAGCTTGGTAAAAGCAGTAAGCAGTTTATTGAAGAATATTTGTATGCAAAGCAGTAAAATTAGTAAAAACAGTAAAGTTCAGAAACATAGAATGGTCCGTAAGCTTCAAGAGAAAACAAGATCTGTGGGTACAAAAAAATCCATGAAACAAGGCACAAGAATCCATGAAACATGGCAGCAGGAAAAAATCCAATACTCAAATCTGGAGCTTGGCAAAAACATGGTACGTGAAACTCAGAGCACTTGAAAACAAGAATGTCATGAAATTCCATTGTTGACCCGACTGAGGCAACTCTTTCCCATGAATCAATATAAAGCTTTTCCAGATCCCAAAACTGAAAGGAAAGCATTTCTCTTGACCTTACCACCAGATAAAGGTTTTTTCTCTCTTTTCCTGTGAACTGATAGTCTTTGCCTCTGAACACTGTCTCTGTTTAAAAAGGCTTCGCTTTCTAACTATACTGTCATTATCTTGACTCTCATTAACTCCTGCACCTGACAAATCATCTTCAGATAGTTGCTCTGAGAAAGACTGTGAAGGGCCTCTACCAAGAATGTGGCCTTGTGAATCTTCCCGAGACAGCTCAGGTCTTTCCTCTGAGATTAACTCAGGCCCAGGCAAACCCTCATTCACATTGCCAACAGACCCAGGCCCACCATCAGGAATATCATCCTCATTCTCATCATGAACATTAGACACAATCACAGGCTGACATACAACACTAGATATCAAAAAATCAGTCTGTGAACTCTAACAGCAAGCATATTTGAAAATGAACATAGATACACTAAAGCATGAAACGACTGAACGAATGAACAACAACACACTAAAGCAGGGCTTCTTAAACCATTTCTACTCCTGAGAAAATTTTATGCGATAATCAAACATTTAGTGATAATGAATCAAATACGAGGGGTATTTTTAAAGTAAGGTCCGTTTTGTTGTAGACACTAGTAGTTCGCGCGCATACCGCAATGAGCGCGTGCGTCGTGTACCGGCATGCCTCGGGAACAACTGCGCTCAGTTTCCGCTCTAGCTAACCTGTACACTTCTGTTCTGTGCTTTAAAAATGTTTAAGACTATCAACTCACCCTCCGCACATGAGGTTCACTCAGTGATACGGTTTTTGTCAGCAAGGAACCTGCCTGCTGCAGAAATTCATCGACAGATTTGTGAAGTGTACGGTGATACTGCTATGAGTGAAAGCAAAGTGCGTAAGTGGGTACGACAATTCAAAGATTTTTATTATTGTTATTGTGAAGTGCCTGTTCTCACGAATCCTCGCTTCAACTGAAGCCACCAAATCGTCTGGAATCAAAGAAGGGCGACCGGAGCGGTCCTCATCATGGACGTTGTCACGCCATCTTTGAATTGTCGTACCCACTTACGCATTTTGCTTTCACTCATAACAGTATCACCGTACACTTCACAAATCTGTCTATGAATTTCTGCAGCAGGCAGGTTCCTTGCTGACAAAAACCGTATCACTGAGCGAACCTCACATGCGACGGGTGAGTTGATAGTCTTAAACATTTTTAAAGCACAGAACAGAAGCGTACAGGTTAGCGACAGAGCGGAAACTGAGCACAGTTGTTCCTGAGGCATGCTGGTACACGATGCACGCGCTCGTTGCGATATGTGCGTGAACTACTAGTGTCTACAACAAAACGGACCTTACTTAAAAAATACCACTCGTATATTTATTTTAAAATAATTCTTTCACATACATATAATTTTACTGTTTATTAAAGATGAATATTTGATACTGCAGGATGTAGAGCATCTTCATCTTTTGTTCCATGCTGGTATATTTGGTTTGCAGCCTCGAGTGGCAGACTACTCTTGACTCTCTTTTTCCCTCCTAGAATCAGGCAAATGTCCAAAGCAGCCAATGGACGGCAAGTTACACAAATTTCTATGACCCCCCAGATTGAGTTAAGGGACCTCAAATGGAGTCACGGCCAACAAGAGGTTTGCCCTAGAGCAGGGCTACTCAAAGTGGTTGTCCAGGCTAGGTTTCCAAGAAAATAAGAATTTATTTATTTATTTATTTAAAATTTATATCCCAATTTTCTCACCTCTGTAGAGGGACTCAGACCGGCTTACAGCAAGGATTCAATGCTACTAATGCAAGTTAAAACATCATACAACAATACAAGATTAAAATACATATATACCAAATCGCCAAGGTAAAATCATGTTCAACTCAGTCCGCATATGTGGTCACTCACTTTGGTCTGTAAGCAGTCTCAGCCATTATTCTGGGAATGCTTTGTTCCATAACCAGGATTTCACTAGCCTCCTGAAGGACAAGAGGGAGGGGGCAGATCAAATCTCATTCGGGAGAGAGTTCCATAGCTGAGGGGCCACCACAGTGAAGGCCCTGTCTCTCGTTCTCACCAAACGCGCTTGCGAAGATAGTGGAAGCGAGAGCAGAGCCTCTCCGGAAGATCTTAACGTCCTTGACGGTTCATAGGGGGAGAATACGTTTGGACAGGTAAACCATATCTAAACTCAACCATACCTAAACTCAACAGAAAGAACCGTACCTAAACTCAACAGAACTTCCAAGATTAATACTAGCACTAGAAGATTATAGGTTTAATGTACCAATAGTAAAAAAATTAAAAATCTGAAAAGAGAAGGCAGAGCATTAATCAGGACTGTCCCTGTCATATTGGGACAATTGGAGGGTGTGTAAATCTATTAAAAATAGAGGTGTCTTCTTGTGTTTCACCTGATATCCTTAATTCCTATGCAGGTGCACAGTTCTATGAAGTGCAGCTTCAATTTATTTCACTTTCAGTTCCTTACAGTGACAGGTATTGCTTCATTGGATCCTCTTCCCAGGGAGGAAAAGTTTTGGCCAACTTCCGAGAGATTTCATCCTCAATCGGCCACCCCCAGGCTTTAAAGAAAGGGGCTAGATTTCTGTTTACTCTTCGTGAAAATGCTTCTGCCCACAGATTCATCTTGGATTTGTTGTCATCAGGGATAGTGGGCCTTCTTTGGTACTCGGCAAAGATGTGGATATAGGGTTCCCATCCGAATGCTTCCTGTAGCTGGGGTAAAAAAGGCATATATTTATTCCCTTAACTTTTTCATGCAGACAGTATAGAATCAAAGAGTTGGAAAAGACCTCATGGGCCATCCAGTCCAACCCCCTGCCAAGAAGCAAGAATATTGCATTTAAATCACCCCTGACAGATGGCCATCCAGCCTCTGTTTAAAAGCTTCCAAAGAAGGAGCCTCCACCACACTCCGGGGCAGAGAGTTCCACTGCTGAACCGCTTTCACAGTCAGGAAGTTCTTCCTCATGTTCAGATGGAATCTCTGTAGTTTGAAGCCATTGCTCCGCGTCCTAGTCTCTAGGGAAGCAGAAAACAAGCTTGCTCCCTCCTCCCTGTGACTTCCTCTCACATATTTATACATGGCTATCATGTCTCCTCTCAGCCTTCTCTTCTTCAGGCTAAACATGCCCAGCTCCTTAAGCCGCTGCTCATAGGGCTTGCTCTCCAGACCCTTGATCATTTTAGTCGCCCTCCTCTGGACACATTCCAGCTTGTCAATATCTCTCTTGAATTGTGGTGCCCAGAATTGGACACAATATTCCAGGTGTGGTCTAACCAAAGCGGAATAGAGGGGTAGCATGACTTCCCTGGACCTAGACACTATGCTCCTATTGATGCAGGCCAAAATCCCATTGGCTTTTTTTGTCGCCACATCGCATCGTTGGCTCATGTTTAACTTGTTGTCCATGAGGACTCCAAGATCTTTTTCACACGGACTGCTCTCGAGCCAGGCATTGTCCCCCATTCTGTATCTTTGCATTTTGTTTTTTCTGCCTAAGTGGAGTATCTTGCATTTGTCCCCGTTGAACTTCATTTTGTTAGTTTTGGCCAATCATCTCTCTAATCTGTCAAGATCGTTTTGAATCCTGCTCCTGTCCTCTGGAGTATTGGCTATCCCTCCCAATTTGGTGTCGTCTAAGTACTAACTAAAGTTGACACTACTTAGCTTCCAAGATAAGACTAGGTCTGGTGCCCTTAAGATATTGAGGTCCTCTACAAGCTGCAAACCATTTGTTGGTGGATGTTGCTAGGGTTCTTAGAAATGCAAAATGTGGGCATTACAGCTTCATGTATGTCCTGTGTTCGACAAACCTGGATTAGACTTTCTTATTACTTGGGAATAATAAGTCCCCCACTAAGCTCCATGGGACTTGTTTCTAGATCAATATCTAATGCCCCCATTACCTGTAAATAGGGTTCCAGCGCAGTGAATACTTCAAAGTCCTTCAGCTGAGCTCCATTTTGGAGATAGTTTTCAATTCTCTGCTTTCTCAGGTGTGGTTGGAGTTCTGGATGAGCTCGGTCCCTTGGGATGTTCAGGACCGTCTCATTGACATAAACAGACCAGAGGTTGCAAGTGGCTTCAGTAGTATGGGGAGGGAATTCCCACCCGCTTTGCTGCTGGTTGTGACCCAACTCATGGATAGGACCCCAGGTCCCTTTGGTTTTGAAGGCTTCCATGTTCACAATTTCCTCCATTCCCCCTACATTAGACATGACTGGGTAACCAGAATGCATCCAACCTAAGGAACAGAGTTGGCATAGGAGAAGATATATATATATATATATATATATATATATATATATATATATATCACACACACACACATACATACACACACACACATACATAGAGAGAGAGAGATTCATATGAAGAGATAAAAATCAGAAGTAATAAACTGAATTTAGAGGTGTCCAAATGCAGCAGGACTAGAGGCTGAATTTACCCAAAATTTAATTTTTAGGTCCCCAGGCAATTCTATAATATTCTTCCACCAGAAGTTGACCAAAGAGTCATACTGAAGAATTTAATGATGCCTTGACATTTACTTGGACCTCCATTGTGACTCTGGTATGCTTCCACCAGATGCTATTCATTCAATAAGGTTTGCTATTATCTGTAGTTTTATTTATTTATTTATTTCGAACTTTTATATACCGGTCTTCTCACCTCCGACGAGGGACTCAGGCCGGTTTACAACAGAGGAGTTCATACACAATAGTTAAAAACATCACATCCTATAAAACTCTAATATAAAACACATTAAAATACAATCATATAATTGCATAAGGCCAAGTCGTCCAAATAAAATCACAATCCATTACCATCCGTCTGTGTGATAAAGGGTTATTGACTCACTCATCAAATGCCAGGTCCCAGAGCCAGGTTTTCACCAACTTTCTAAAGGTCAGGAGGGAAGGGGCAGTTCTAATCTCCAATGGGAGAGAGTTCCAGAGCTGAGGGGCCACCACCGAGAAGGCCCTGTCCCTCGTCCCCACCAGACGCGATTGCGAGGGTGGTGGGACCGAGAGCAGGGCCCCTCCAGAAGATCTTAGCAACCTTGATGGTTCATAGGGGAGAATCCGTTTGGACAGGTAAATTGGGCCGGAGTCGTTTAGGGATTTATAGGTCAACACCAGCACTTTGAATTGTGCTTGGAAGCTAATTGGCAGCCAGTGGAGCTGGCGCAACAGAGTAGTATGCTCCCTGTACCCCGCTCCTGTTAGTAATCTGGCTGCCACTCGTTGGACTAATTGCAGCTTCCGGGCAGTCTTCAGAGGCAACCCCACGTAGAGAGTGTTGCAGTAGTCTATGCGGGATGTAACCAGAGCGTGGACCACCGTGTTTTACATTAAACACGGAGAAAGCCAAAGTTCTCTTCCAGTAGTCACCAGCCAATCCCTCTGCAATGCCAGAAATACAGCTGAATGGCGTAAAATTAGAAAATATTGACCATTTCCGCTCCCTTGGTAGCCACTTCTCCACAAAAGTCAATATTGACACTGAAATACAACTCTGCCTGAGCTCTGCAAGTGCAGCATTCTTCTGAATGAAGCAGAGAGTATTGAGGATTGGGACATCCATAGGGAGACAAAGTTGCTTGTTTATAAAGCTATTTATTTAATTATAAAGAAGCGATGCTCCTACGTCATCAACTCCGTGGACTGGCCACATTGTCCGAATTTTGGATCACCGTCTCCCAAAGCAGTTACTACACCCCCAACTGAAGAACAGAAAATCTAATGTTGGTGGACAGGAAAAGAGACTTAAAGATGGACTTCAAGTTAACCTTAAAAACTATGGCATAGACACTGAGAACTAGGAAGCCCTGGCCCTTGAGCGCTCTAACTGGAGGTCAGCTGTGACCAGCAGTGCTGCAGAATTTGAAGAGGCACAAATGGAGGGCGAAAGGGAGAAACTGCTAAGAGGAAGGCACGCCAAGCCAACCCCGACTGGGACCGCCTTCCACCTAGAAACCGATGCCGTCACTGCGGGAGAATATGCAGGTCAAGAATAGGGCTCCACAGTCACCTATGGACCCATCGCAAAGACACTCCACTTGGAGGACCATCATCCTTGAGCTATGAGGGATCGCCTAAGTAAGTAAGGAAGTAAGTGTCCTCCCAACCCTGTGATACGCCTGTGAAATGTGGACTGTCTACAGACGTCACACTCAACTCCTGGAATGATTCCATCAGTGTTGCGTCTGAAAAATCCCGCAAATATCTTGGGAAGACAGGTAGACAAATGCCAGCATGCTGGAAGAAGCAAAGACCACCAGCACTGAAGCGATGTTCCTAAGTCATCAACTCTGCTGGACTGGCCACGTTGTCTGAATGCCCAACCACCGTCTCCACTGGACTGACTGCCACCACCAAGAGACTACACTTGGAAGGCCATCCTACTTAGACAACGAGGGATTGCCTAAGTCAAAGTAAGTAAGGTTTTGCATATTCACATGAAATCCTGGAACGTATCCCCAGTGGGTGTGGAGGTATAATGTATCTGACCATTTTCACTGATATGCATATGAGATGAAGTGGCATCTACTTACCAGCGGATATTTGAACATCAGTCACAATTCTTTCTGGTCTGGGGAAAACGGGAGGAAGGAATGCCAACTTGGTCATAGCATTCATCATCTGGGCCCAGGTAGTGAGCAGGGTCTCAGGATCGTCTATTTTGCACGCATCATCTGAGGGCACCGTCAAGATGATATTCTCAGTTTCTAGCTCAGCCCAGGGAGAAGAATAGTGACATATGGTATTTTGCCAGTCCCGGATATTGGTTTCACCTGATCCAACATTTTAAGAAAGGAAACACTTGTTAGAACCATATTGGGCAGACACGCTAGGCTCTGTGCCAGAGGATAAATGAAAGAATACACAAAACCCAGTTGCAGAACACTTCCTGGACACTCAGAGCTCAAACAGCAGTACTTGAACAAGATAGATAGATAGATAGATAGATAGATAGATAGATAGATAGATAGATCGGTAGGTAGGTAGGTAGATAGGTAGGTAGGTAGGTAGGTAGACAGGTCGGTAGATAGATAGGTTGGTAGATAGATAGGTAGGTAGGTAGATAGGTAGGTAGGTAGGTAGATAGATAGATAGATAGATAGATAGATAGATAGATAGATAGATAGATAGATAGATAGATAGGTAGGTAGATAGGTAGGTAGGTAGGTAGGTAGACAGGTCGGTAGATAGATAGGTTGGTAGATAGATAAATAGATAGGTCGGTAGATAGATAGGTCGGTAGATAGGTAGATAGGTAGATAGATAGGTAGATAGATAGGTAGACAGATAGGTAGGTAGGTAGGTAGGTAGATAGATAGATAGGTAGGTAGGTAGATAGGTAGATAGGTAGATAGATAGATAGATAGGTAGGTAGGTAGGTAGATAGATAGATAGGTAGGTAGATAGGTAGATAGATAGGTAGATAGGTAGGTAGATAGATAGATAGATAGGTAGATAGAGAGATAGATAGGTAGGTAGGTAGATAGGTAGATAGATAGGTAGATCAATACATAGATAGATAGATTGGTATGTAGATAGATAGGTAGATAGGTAGATAGATAGGTAGACAGATAGATAGATAGGTAGATAGATAGATAGATAGGTAGGTAGGTAGGTAGGTAGGTAGGTAGGTAGATAGATAGATAGATAGGAAGTTTGAAAAGAATCAGCTGGACAGGAATAGTTTCACCAATTCCAGTCTTATCAACAGTGGATTGAACAGAGACAATGGTTCTTTGGCACACAGCACATAACATCAGTTAACACACCGGTTGCATGAGGACTTTCTTGGATAGTTTATGACATCTCCTTTCTGGTTACCAGTCAGTGTCACACTGCATTCTAATAAGGACTTCCAAATAACCACCTAACTTAGAGGGGTTCACCAGCAGTTTTCCTGGTATTTTGTGTCTTACTGGGAACAGGGAGAGAGTGTGACTTATGTATGTACGAGGGTTGAATGAAAAGTAATGCCTCCACCTTCCTTACTTGGGTTTGGATGGGAATATTTTAATAAATCAAATGCAGAAATAATCCTTAGAATGTGCTCTTGAACTACCACTATCCACTTTTCCACATAATCACCAAACAATTGGATACATTTCTGCCAACAAAGAACAAGTTTTCTGAAGCCGTCATGGAAGAAGTCAACACTCTGTTTCCGCAACCCATCGTGCACAGATCTTCCGATAGCCAAGCAAAGCAAAAAATGTGATCTTGTGAAATGCTGATTATGCTTGAAATTTCTCTCTGATGATATGACAATAATCCTGAATCAATCTGTCAACCTTTTGCTTGTGAAACTCAGTGGTTGCTGTCACAGGACGTCCAACTCTTTGTTTGTCACACAAGTCAGATGTTCCCACCACAACATCTTTAAACTTACTCGCCCAACAACGCACTGTACTCACATCAACACAATCACCATAAACAGCTTGCATTCTCTGATGAATCTCCTTTGGGGTGAGACCTTCTGCTGTCAATAATTCAACGACTGCACATTGCTTAAGTCACATTGACCAACTGTCTGCACAGGGTTCCATACTTTGCACTTTAACAACACAACCGTTCAGTGCTAGGGTTTCACACCAAAATGGAACTGTAGAGGAGAGTCTACTGAACAAGCCAGTACCTGCCGCAAACCCGTACTGCCATCTGTTGAGGAGTTACGAAGGTGGAGGCATTACTTTTCATTCAACCCTCGTAGTTGCAAGTTATCAGTGGGAAGGTAATGGCGCCCCATGAAGTCATGCTGGCCATATAACCTTGTAGGTGTCTGTGGACAACGCCGGCTCTTCAGCTTGGAAATGGAGATGAGCACCAACCCCCAGAGTCAGACACGACTGGACTTAATGTCAGGGGGAAACTGAGTTGCCTGAGGGCTGAGAAGGCTGGTATACAAATATAGTAAATAAATAAACCCTTTACCTAGCCTTTACCTAGTTGGAATGCTGGGTAACAAAGTTCCAGTAGTGAATTGTGCATTGCTTTTTCAATGGACACCTAAGTGCAGATGAACCTCTTGTACCTTGCAACCATTTATATTCAAATAATTATTGAGTTTACCAACTATCCCACCATTATTTGATCTTTGTGTGTGTGGATCACTTGCCATGCTTGAAGTAAGGAGCCATGGTGGCCCCTTCTATGGTGACATACATGAAACCCATTGAAGATTTCTCCGGCACGATGACGTATAAGAGTCCTCCCCACAGGCTGGAGACTTCCACTCTTGGACTCTTAACCTGAAATCGTCTGACCACCACCGGAGGACGTTGCAGCTCACCAGCCTTGCTCAAGTCATCAGAATGGCAGCCAATCTGTACCTGGGAGAAAAGGATATTGGATTTAAGAGCCTGATGGTATTGGGACAGGTGAAGTTCCTCTCCTGGTTTCTTTAGTCTCGGGGATTGGGGATTCTTTGCCATCTGTTGCCTAATTTACATTTGTATGGAGGATGCTAGATAAGCAGAAGTTAGGGCTGATCGTGGGAGCTCACTCCAACCCTGTGGCTTGAACTGCCAACCTTCTGGTCGGCAAGACTTTCTGCAGCTGGCGGTTTAACTCGTAGTGCTAACTGCAGCCCCGCTATTACTCTAGAATTTCAGACCCAGATATCACATATTAATTATTATTTATTATTTACAGTATTTATATACCGCTTTCCTCACCCCTCGGGGGACTCAAAGCGGTTTACATATAGAAAATGGCAAAAATTCAATGCCTTACAATGACAATAGTAAAACCACACTTTAAACATAAATCATATTAAAAACAGTACATCACCAAATATCAAAACAGTTATTAAAACCACAAAACAATCTCATCAGTCGAGTTACCATTCCAGTCCTTGTCCCACTAAAAGCTGCATACATCTATTGTCCGAAGGCCTGGTCCCAGAACCATGATTTTAATTTTTTTCTAAAGGTCAGGAGTGAGGGAGCAGATCTTTGGGAGTGTGTTCCATAGGCAGGGGACCACAGCTGAGAAGGCCCTGCTCCTCGTCCCCACCAACCGCATTTGCGCTGTTGACGGGAGCGAGAGCAGGCCCTCCCCGGATGATCCTAAATTGTGAGGTGGGACATAGGGGCAGATGTGTTCGGACAAGTAAACTGGGCTCGAACTGTCTCTCCATCCCCCACCCCCCAACCCAATCATACCATACTATGTGACTCAGATTTTAGAAACTATACCTCCAAATTAGCATCTAGGACAGTTGATGGAAAGACCAAGGTGACAGTCTTGGCTGGAGGAACGTACATGCCAGAGCTTCTCCATGCTTCATTTCCTATAATAACAAATCGGCAGATGGAATTTGCAATATAGTGATATAGGTTATAAGTCTCTAGGCTATATATCAAATTTGACTCCCTCTTGGAGAAAGAGAATTTTCTGAAATTGCTTTAACTTAATTTTATGATAGATAGGTTATTCATTAGAGAAGAACCTTGGTAAGCATCTAAACAATAGTGGAAACCATGTGACTGTCCAAATGTTGGATCCCATGTCCTAGCATCCTTAAATCAGCATAGCCAATTATATGTAATGCTGGGAGCTGTAGTTCAACAGCTGGATGGCATTGTGATTCATGTCCCTGATGTAAGATATGCTCACTTCACTACTAAGGATATCTACCAATTGCCCCAACTCTTTGCTGTTGCAATATAGTCTGTGATTGTGTCTGATGAACAAGTTGCTTTGGGTGAAATGACAATTATGTTCATGTTCAAGCTGATTTCCCTGATGGAAATGGGGATGCTGTCCATGAAGATGTTCCTGAAGGGAATGGGGATGATAGTCTGTTCCCTGGGTCGGGTTTTGGAGATGTAGGGACTGGATGCAGTTTAGATGATGGGTCACAGAGGCCTGTATTGCTGCAAGAGGATTCCCAAGGTCTTGAGCTTGGGAAATCCCGCAGTTCCCCGGTAAGTTATCTCCAGGTGGAGATTTTAATGAAGGGAGTAGCAGTGAGGCCTTGAAGAGGAGGAGTGCTTTTAGTCAGCAAAGACAAACAGGTCAGCAATTACGGTGCTCAGCCAGATTACAGCAGAAGTTAGAAGTGAAACCAAAATTAAGAAAGAATCCTTTCCTAGCTGTTTGGGAATTAGGGTAGGAATATAAGTGCCAAGTGCGGAATCTAGCTTCAGACAAAGCAATGTTGGATTCACGTTAAGTTCTTCATGCTAAGGCTCTTGTCTTTGTTTGATTCATGGATTTAAGTGCCTTTGCTGGGTTTTTTTGTTTTTGTTTTTGTTTTGGTTGTGTCAGGAGTGACTTGAGAAACTGCAAGTTGCTTCTGGTGTGGGAGAATTGGCCGTCTGCAAGGACATTGCCCAGGGGACGCCCAGATGTTTTGATGTTTTATCATCCTTGTGGGAGTCTTCTCTCATGTCCCTGCATGAGGAGCTGGAGCTGACAGAGAGAGCTCATCCGCGTTCTCCACGGATTCGAACCTGTGACCTGTTGGCCTTCAGTCCTGCCGGCCAAGGGGTTTAACCCACTGCGCCACCAGGGGCTCCATTGCTGTTTATGCCCAGCATTTTTTAATAATTTTAATTATCACACTTGGCCCTGCCATAGGTTCTTTTAATGCGTCGTGGTGTTATTGTTGATGTTTACTGCTTGTTTATGAGTTTATTTATTGTTGTATTGTTGTTGTTGTTGTTTTACTGATGTATTTGGGCTCGGCCTCTTGTAAGCCGTACCGCGAGTCCTTCGGGAGATGGTAGCGGGGTACAAATAAAGGTTTATTATTATTATTATTATTATTTATTGCCTTTGAAATCAAATATCTAGTTTCATGGACTGTTGTTGTACTGGGTTGTTGTAGGTTTTCCGGGCTATATGGCCATGTTCTAGAGGCATTTTCTCCTGATGTTTCGCCTGCATCTATGGCAAGCATCCTCAGAGGTAGTGAGGTCTGTTGGAACTAGGAAAATGGGTTTATATATCTGTGAAAAGACCAGGGTGGGTCAAAGGACTTTTGTCTGCTGGAGCTAGGTGTGAATGTTTCAACTGACCACCTTGATTAGCATTTAATGGCTTGGAAGTGCCTGGGGGAATCTTTCTTTGAGAGGTGATTTGATGTGCCTGATTGTTTACTCTCTGTTGTAATTTTTGAGTTTTTTTTAATACCGGTAGCCAGATTTTGTTGTACTTTTTTTCTTTGGACTGTTTGTTCCTGTTTCTTCCTAATCAATTGGATTACCTTTTACTGTGCATTGTTTTTATTGCTTTGGCTTATATTATCTTCAATAAACTGCTTGCTATTTTAACCCATCTGTGTGGGTTAAACACACAGGGGATCCTGCTCTGGAGTACAACAATTGCTAACATATACTTATTGCAATGGTGGATGACTGCGGAAAGCTGGAGACCATATTAGTCCTCCCAGGAGACCTCTATGGCCTCATAGCACCCCTCCAAATATATCAACCTTTTAAAGTACACTTACCGTTATTTGTTCCATTAATCCAGATGGTTTGGGGAGATGCTATAGGAAAGTGTTTTGTGAAATGTTGATTCAGGCTCGGGACTAAACACTGGAATTCTGGCATCGCATTATAGAGATCCCAAGACAAGTAGAGTAAAACAGCTTTGTCTGAGTTGGAATTGATTGGATTGTTTGTATCGATGTCGGGAATCCCACAGCGCTGGACCAGTTCCAACATATGCTTGTGAACAGAGGAGAAAACAGGGGACTTGGCAGCTGGGATCTGTAGGAATGCGGCTGAATCTTGCGCCAGTTTCTTACACCATAGGGAATATGGCGGATGTAGGGGACGATTGTTCTCAAGCTGTTCCTTGAAATGGGAGAGCATTTTACGAAAGTTGTAATTCAAAGATGAGTCTCCAGCCTGCCTCACTGGGTAGATTTCAGAGTTGCACGTTTCCCCAAAGATTCCTATTCCAAACTTGTTAAGGATCTTGTTTCCTGGAAACTGGGCAAAGACACTGCTGTTGGGATGGTTGTAAGTCCAATACCAAGCATGACCCCCAATGAGGAGACCACCTCCTTCAGAGACAAATTCGTGGATTTTTTCCATCTCTTCATCGCTGTATGCTGAGCAACAGTATACACTGAGGCCTTCCTTAAGATTGGTGAGTTCGCATGGGATCATGGCCTGGAGTAACATAGAATGAAGCCCATGGAAATCGCTTCCAACACCAACCTTTCCTTCTTTTCCAGCCAAAAGCCACTGGATGGCATTAAGCAAAAATGTCTGCATTGAATCTGTGTCCAATAACCCTTCATGGGAGGCAACCACAACGCGTCCCCTGCCATAGTATGCGGCTCCAATGAACGTCTCATCAGAATCGGAAACAGCAACTGGAAATGCCAAATTCCCATGGATGAGCAGGGGAGAAGGGACCTTATCGCCCATGTCAAACTGAACCACTCCATTTAGAAGAAAATTTAAGTCTCTTTGGATGTCTAATCCAGACCTGTTGAAAGAAGAGATGAATCCATGAAAGTATTCACATCCCAAAAGATGTAAAATGATTTCTCACATTGAAGGATCTAAAAGGTGGTGTCACACTGCCAGATTGTAGAGCAGTGGTTCTCAACCTTCCTAGTGTCGTGACCCCTTAACATGGTTCCTTATGTTGTGATGACCCCCAACCCCAAAATTATTTTCGTTGCTACTTCACAACTGTAATTTTGCTACTGTTATGAATCATAATGTAAATATCTGATTTGCAGGATGTACTTTCATTCACTGGACCAAATTTGGCACAGATATGCAATACACCCAAATTTGAACACTGGTGGGCTAGGGGGGTTGGGAATTGTAGTTGCAGGGACTTATAGTTCATCTATAATCAAAGAGCTCCACCAACGATGGAACTGAACTAAACCTGGCACACAGAACTCCCATGACCAACAAAAAATACTGGAAGGGTTTGAGTTTGGGAGTTATAGTTCATCTACATCCAGAGAGTGGACTGCAACAATGATGGATCTGGACCAAACTTGGCATATATACTCAACATGCCCAAATGTGAACACTGGTGGAATTTGGGGACAATAGACCTTGACACTTGGGAGTTGTAGTTGCTGGGATTTATAGTTCACCTACAATCAAAGACCATTCTGAACCTCACCAATGATAGAATTGGGCCAATCTTCCCACCCAGAACCCCCATGACCAGCAGAAAATACTGTTTTCTGATGGTCTTTGGAGACCCCTCTGACACCACCTTGTGACCCCCCCAGGGGTCCCGACCCCCAGGTTGAGAAACACTGTTGTAGAGGGATTTGGGATAAGGGATGGTGAGACAACCAGTAATTATGTCTGGTCACCTCCAGGCTTTTTTTAAGGGGTGGAAGGACGTTTCAGGTTATAATTACAACAGCAGGGCCTAACAAAATTGTCCTTCTCCTTGTTTGTAGGGTTGCAAGGGTTTTCCTTCCAGAATTTTCCAGTGACAGACTGGGGTAGATGTGGTCTCCAGACTACTATATTTACTTGGTTAAAATGCATCATCAAATGTAATGCGCACTTCAGTGTTGAAGATGCACATTACAAAAAAGGGATTTGCTGTTGAATGTAATGCACCCAGTTTATTAGGCTTAGGACTTCACAAAGGCCAGGCAAAGCATTCTGCTGGACAAGGGATAGCAGGGTGAATCTGTCATCCCGCGCCCCTTTCCCTCGCAATGGTGCTTCCAACATCACACGTGGGAAGCGTTTCCCTCCTGGTGAGGACCCACACTGGTTCAGTTGTGGCAGTAGAAACATGGACAGGTTCCCATGTTGTAAGAGAAGCCTTTGACAACAATTCTACCCTGGTTGGAGGACTGTCCCCAAGACAGTGTGGAAGTATCCCAGGATACTAAATTTACCCCATTTGATGAGGCCCCCATATGTGAACAAAAAGCCATGTACCTTTGGCAATTTCATTCAGTTCCCAATTGGCCTCATTCACAGAGACCTTCTGAATGAGGCCGGTATATTTATTATTTACAGTATTTATATTCCTCCCTACTCATCCCACAGGGGACTCAGGGCGGATTACAGTGCACATATACATGGCAAACATTCAATGCCATAGACACACAACATATATAGACAGATACACAGAGGCCATTTAACAGCTTCATGAGAGTATTCTGGCCACCAGGGGAGCTGTTGCTTCACCGTCCATTTGTGACACTGATGGAGTACTTCCTCATTCTTTGCATGCTTGCTGGATATTTTTATGACATCGTAAATTAGCCTCCCCTGATCTGACAAGGGAGAAAGAGGAGGAGGTAGGTGGTGGTGATGATGGCAGTGGTTGCAATGTGCCTGTGACTCTCAGGGCGCCACCAACAAAGAACGAGTAAGAGATCAGGGAGTAGACAGGATTATGTGTGTGATTCTAATGTGCCACCAAATCTAATGCACATTTCATTTTTTGATGTAATGCAGCCAGAAAAGGTGAGCATTAAAATCAAGTAAATAATGCTGGGTGAAACTGCAGTCTAACTTAAAGATAGGTCTCAACCACAGTATTTGCTTTGGTATGTCTTCCTGTGATTTCTGATCTATAGTCACTCTAAGGTATTGTGGTTTGAACAAGGCATGGAAGTCCATTGGGTGACCTTAGGTAAGTCATACATTCTCAAAGTCCAAAGAATATCTGAAGAAACCTTGCAAAGAATTCTCTTTGATACAATGGCCTTTCAACCACCTCAACTGACAGAAACAAAAACTGGAGACACACAATAACAACACTGAAATAAGACAGATAAAGAGAAATGCTTACTTAGTGATCAGGGGGACCCTTGGCATTTCCTTGGGTACAGGAAAGATCCCATTCTCTCCCACATTGGCAGTGAAATACACACCAGCCACACTGGTCAACCGGTTGCCAGGGAATTCCGCCAGAACGTTCTCCTCGCCATGTTGATATGACCAATGCCAGGCCTGTCCTCCGATCAGAAGCCCCCCACCTCTTTTGACAAACCGTACGAGGTCCTCTGTCTGGTCGCCATTGTAGGCATCCAGGCAGTAGACCCCTAGGGAGTCTCCAAGGGGCACTCCGGGATGCACTTCGACCCCATTGCTAAGGAGCATCTTGGAGAGGGCATCCATGCTTTTGTGGGCCCCCACTTGTGCGGTGGAGGATGGCTTCAGCCACTCCAGAGCATTTCTAATCAATGGCAAAAAATGGGGAAGCATCAGCATTACTTCATGGGCAAAGACCACCATACGGCCTTCTCCGTACTGAGATGCAGCAATGAGGACTTCATCCTTCGAACTCAGAAGCACTGGAAAAGACCGGTCTCCAGTGAGCAGGAGTTGACAAGGATTATAATCTCCTGTTACATCCAGAGACTGGATGCCTTTCACTAGAGCTGCATAAGATGTTTGGGGATCCATTGGAACAGCCCGTGATCTGAAAGAGAAGAAAGAGATATCAATAGAAGCGTGCTGAATTCTGACAACTCCATGTCAACAAAATTTCTAATCAGATTAACTGTCCTGCATTTTAACATTGTCTCAGAGGCAGACTGAGATAGTTCTATCAGGTAACAGCAGAAAAGGAGAAGAAACAGGTATACCCTTATTTATCCTGTTACCCTCCTCCCTGGATCCAGCTTGGAAGGCACAAATATGCTGAGCTGGAGCCCATTTGTTGGAAAAATGTACAACCAGCAAGGTTAGAATCCATAGCTGGATGTAGGCACCTGAGAGAGAGAGCTGTAGGCACCTGAGGGAGAACACTCATGGTGCCCCTTTAGGGTGAAAGGGAGTCCTCTGGAATTTATTTATTTATTTACAGTATTTATATTCCTCAGGGGACCAGGGCGGATCACAATGTACTTATACATGGCAAACAACATTCAATGCCATAGACACACAACAGATGTAGACAGACACACAAAGGCCAACATGGCGAGAGAAGCTAATATTACTTTAATACCTAAGGGAGATCAGGATTTAACTTTAACACAGAACTGTTGACCGATTCCTTTATTGAACAATGACTATAAATTGTTAACAACCATCCTAGCTGAAAGACTAAAATGTATACTTCAGAAGTTTATTTATCAGGATCAGTATGTTTTTATGCCTAAAAGACAACTATGAGGCAACATAAAAAGGGACTCTATTGGATTGTTGTTGTTGTTGTTCATTCGTTCAGTCGTCTCCGACTCTTCGTGACCTCATGGACCAGCCCACGCCAGAGCTCCCTGTCGGCCGTTACCATCCCCAGCTCCTTCAAGGTCAGTCCAGTCACTTCAAGGATGCCATCCATCCATCTTGCCCTTGGTCGGCCCCTCTTCCTTTTACCTTCCACTTTCCCCAGCATAATTCTCTTGCTGTCTCCTCATGATGTGGCCAAAGTACTTCAACTTTGTCTTTAGTATCCTTCCCTCCAATGAGCAGCCGGGCTTTATTTCCTGGAGGATGGACTGGTTGGATCTTCTCGCAGTCCAGGCACTCTCAGAACTTTCCTCCAACACCACAGCTCAAAAGCATCTATCTTCCTTCGCTCAGCCTTCCCTAAGGTCCAGCTCTCACATCCGTAGGTTACTACAGGGAATACCATGGCTTTGACTAGGCGGATCTTTGTTGCCAGTCTGATGTCTCTACTCTTCACTATTTTATCGAGACTGGACATTGCTCTCCTCCCAAGAAGGAAGCGTCTTCTGATTTCCTGGCTACAGTCTGCATCTGCAGTAATCTTTGCACCTAGAAATACAAAGTCTGTCACGGCCTCCACGGTTTCTCCCTCTATTTTCCAGTTGTCAATCATTCTTGTTGCCATAATCTTGTTTTTTTTGACGTTTAGCTGCAACCCGGCTTTTGCGCTTTCTTCTTTCACCTTGATTAGAAGGCTCCTCAGCTCCTCCTCGCTTTCGGCCATCAGAGTGGTGTCATCTGCATATCTGAGGTTGTTAATGTTTCTTCCAGCAATTTTCACTCAGCTTTGCATTCATCAAGCCCCGCACATCGCATGATGTGTTCTGCATACAAGTTGAAAAGGTTGGGTGAGAGTATGCAGCCTTGCCGTACGCCTTTCCCAATCTTGAACCAGTCTGTTGTTCCGTGGTCAGTTCTGACTGTTGCTACTTGGTCCTTGTACAGATTCCTCAGGAGAGAGACAAGGTGGCTTGGGATGCCCATCCCACTAAGAACTTGCCACAATTTATTATGATCCACACAGTGAAAGGCTTTAGAATAGTCAATGAAGCAGAAATAGATGTTTTTCTGAAACTCCCTGCCTTTCTCCATTATCCAGCGGATATTGGCAATCTGGTCTCTCGTTCCTCTGCCTTTTCTAAACCCAGCTTGAACATCTGGCAACTCTATTGGATATTTTGGAGTATTTGGAAGGACATAATAAAAAACACACAAATTGGTTTGATCTTTTTCGATACAGAAAAAGCCTTTGGTAAACTGAATTAGCCATCTATGTTTAATGTATTGAAGCATATGAATTTTGCTTCCGTACCTTAAACATAGATGTGCCCATACCTTGGGAAGCCAGGCTTGGCCACAGTGGTCCATGCTCTTGTTACATCTCAGATAAGTTCCTGAATCCAAATTGGATTATGTTAGTCTACACTGCCCTATAACCCAGTTCAAAGCAAAGATAATCTGCATTCAGAGACTGGATCAGTGTGCATCTGCATGGTTTGATGCTATGGAATCCTGGGAGCTGTAGTTCTGCAAGGTCTTGCACTTTCTCTCCCTGATGCCTCATCAAACTACAATTCCTAGGAATGCATAGCATTGAGTCATTATAGTGGTGCTAAACTGCAGTATAGATACATCCAGAGGTGAAACAGAGATTACAGAAACTGGTACTCATTGGTGACTTCCCATCCAAGTACTAACCAAGGCTGGCCCTTCTTAGCTTCCAAGATCAGGTGGGATCTGATAGTTTGAGGATATCCCGCTTACAATTCATTCAATCAAACTAAATTTTCAATAAGGAAAAAAACGAAATAAGTAAATAACTTACTGTTTTCAGAAGTTTACCTTCCAAACGGGTTACGATCTCTTCAAGTATCTGCTTGGAAAACAATGCTAGTCAGTCAGTTTGGAGCATCTTATAAATGGCTTGAATGAAGGATGTTGGTGAATCACAAACAGGTCATAAGTTTATACATTCGTTTTCTGTAAAAGGAAAGTAAATATTTAATCAGTTCATTTCAGAGGAAACCATATGAACTATTAGTAACCCTTTTAAAGTGATTTTTTTTAGAAACAGGAACCAAACTTCCTAGAAAGGTACTTAGGAGTTCAGCCAAACAATGAAGAAACCGGAACTGGAATTTTGCTTCTGCCCTTCGTCTTGGAAAAATAAACATATGGAAATGTCTTAGGACAAAGAGTATTTACTTAAAGAATCAACTGAAAATGGAGCTGGACGGTAAAATATTCTCATAGATGGTAGGTAGTCCAAACTATTTTAAAGTTATTAATGAATATGTTAATTTAGGTTAGGTTCAGTTCGGAAAACATATAATAAGAGCTATGGATCACTCCAGGTCGAAATCAATCCCATTGAGCTCAACTAAAGTATATACAGGTTGACTTGTATCCCTTATATACAGGTTGACTTGTATCCCACGGTGGTACACGCTCTGGTCACATCCCGCCTTGACTACTGCAACGCTCTCTACGTGGGGCTGCCCTTGAAGACGGCCCGGAAGCTCCAGCTAGTCCAGCGCGCGGCAGCCATGTTACTAACAGGGGCAGGACGCAGGGAGCATACAACGCCCTTGTTGTTCCAGCTCCACTGGCTGCCGATCTGCTACCGGGCCCAATTCAAGGTGCTGGTGTTGGCCTACAAAGCCCTAAACGGTTCCGGCCCAAAATACCTGTCTGACCGCATCTCGGCCTATGAGCCCACGAGGACTTTGAGATCGTCTGGGGAGGCCCTTCTCTCGATCCCGCCTGCCTCACAGGCACGCCTGGCGGGGACGAGGGATAGGGCCTTCTCGGTGGTGGCCCCCCGGCTGTGGAACACCCTCCCTGTAGACATCAGACAGGCGCCCTCCCTTATGACATTCCGCAAGAGACTAAAGACGTGGTTGTTTGAGAAGGCGTTTGACTAAGTGCTACAACAATTGGCAATGATGATTGGAACGGAACATGGATAACGAGATTGGATTGTGATTCTACGATGAGACGTCGCGAATGATTTAGTGTAATTGTATTATTGACAGTGATGTTGTTATTGTTGTTTGTGATATTGCCTATATTGTAATTTGTTTTTATATGTTGTACACCGCCGTGAGTCGCCCTAGGGCTGAGAACGGCGGTCTACAAGTGCAGTAAATAAATAAATAAATAAATAAATTATCCAGAATGCCAAAATCTAAAATATTCCGAAATCCAGAACTGGTTGCCTGAGATTGTGAGACCGTGTTTTCTGATTGGTCCAGTTTGCAGAAACTTTTGTTTCATACACACAACGATTAAACATATTATGTATACAATGACCTTAATGCTTTGTGTGTAAGGTGCATTCGATCCGTCCATGAACTTCATGTTTAGACTTGGCTCCCATGTCCAAGATACCTCATGTATATGCAAATGCAGGTATTCCAAAATCTACTCCAGGCATGGGCAAACTAAGGACTGGGGGCAGATGTAGCCCCTGGGGTGCTTACCCCAGGCCCTCCTCAGTTACCCTGTCCTTTTGGCATAAGGACACAGCAGCCCACAGCAGCTGAGAGCCCTCTCAAGCGGGCTCAGCAACCGCATGTCTCGCCCTTCTCCTGGCATAAGGACGGCGCGAGTGGCCCCATACTTATGCCAGGAGGACAACTCAAGGAAAGCACGTGGTGGCTGAGAGCCCTCTGGAGAATTCTCAGCCCCTACTGTCTCGCCTTCCTGCTGGCATAATGTCAAAAGGATAGCCTGTCACGATGCCAGGGCTCTGCCGGTACACAGGCAGAGATGAACCAAAACAACATCCAGTTCTGTCACACGCTGGGCCTGTAACAGCTGTCTTTTCTATAGGATGTATACTTTAAGCCCAGCAAGAAGCCAGGGCGCCTCAAAGAGAGGTTCTCAGGGATTTTTCTGGTCTTTAATGATACAACAAAGTCTTTATTATGGAACAAACAACAAATCTTCAATGGTTCAAACAACACTTCAAGGCTTTCTTAGTCTAGTCCTCAATGGACTGGTACTTGACTTTAATTAACTGTACTCTCTCTGTAAGAAAAAGCCCTATTAAACCTCTCCCAGGCTGTTTACTATCTTTGCCTCATCGGTGTGGGTCCTACTACCAATTCCAAATGCATCTGGGTATCGAGTAGACCTACCAGCCGAGGCTTGAAGATATTTCAGCTGGAGTTCCGTGGATCTGTAATGCTGTCCTCCCTCAGAGAATTCTTTGAAACCTCAGGGTTGTTTTCCCTCTGATTGCTGTGAGGTTGAGAGGCTGTGAGCTCTCAGCCAAAGCCTTGGGACCTTTTCCCTGGAATTTCTGTTTCTGTTTTCCTGGATGTTCTTGAGAAAAGCAGCTTTCTACGGGAAGGGCTGGTCTACGTCCTATAGTTTAGCTTCCTTATGTGAGACTGCCCCAAAAATGGCTCCTTTCCCTCCCAAAGACCTGAACAAGGGGCGGAACCAAAGCTTAATTATGATGGACAGGAGGCCTGCCCTATGACTGCAAACAGATAACAGAAAGAAAATAAAGTTGGAGCTCCTGGTACAACCGTACCAGCACACAAAGTGTTTAACTAAAGCAGCTTACTTTCTGGCTGTTTTCGTAGTCCAAAATATAAAACATAAAGATAGCACTCATCCACAGAATCATAAAACAAAGACTGCTAGCATTTTCTAAATTCATTAGAAATCACAAAGAGCTACTGAATTTTTAAAGACTGTAAGAAAAACAAAATGCAGTATGGAAGAGGAACTTACTGTTTATATGTTTGGATAGAAGGAATTCATTGCTTCTTCCTAAAATATTGCCAAAACTGGAGTATTTACTACACACACAGAGAGAGACGTGGTTCTTAAATCACAGTCCTGGGAGGTCCTTTCTTAATATCTGGACTTTGTACTTTCTTGAGCCACTTGCCTCACCTACTTTAATCCACATATCTGGTGATAAGCAGGATGCAGGAACCGTGCTTTCTCAGAGCAGATTTTTCAATAACTTCAGTTAAATCCCTTCTCAGCGAAATCACTTTCAATGCATAAAGCGGCGAGATAGTTAAAGTTGCTCTTGACTAGTTGTGCTTCTTTGACATGTTGACCAAACTATAAATACCAAGATTCAATAAAATGGAGCCAGAGCAGATAAAGAGATACTGGGACATTCCCATTCCCCAATGTGGATGCACCGCAGATTTCTTGTTGTTGTTCATTCGTTCAGTTGTCTCTGACTCTTCGTGACCTCATGGACCAGTCCACGCCAGAGCTCCCTGTCGGCTGTCACCACCCCCAGCTCCTTCAAGGTCAGTCCAGTCACTTCAAGGATGCCATCCATCCATCTTGCCCTTGGTCGGCCCCTCTTCCTTTTACCTTCCACTTTCCCCAGCATAATTGTCTTCTCTAGGCTTTCCTGTCTCCACATGATGTGGCCAAAGGACTTCAACTTTGTCTCTAGTCTCCTTCCCTCCAATGAGCAGTCGGGCTTTATTTCCTGGAGGATGGACTGGTTGGATCTTTTCGCAGCCCAAGGCACTCTCAGAACGCAGGTTTCTACTTTATGCTTTTATTGTGGTCTCAAAACCCTAGACTCTGAAAGACAATTATTGTCATAAAACACAAAGGATGGCATATCATAGAATCATACAATTGTTGGAAGCAACCCTCAGGGACATCCAGTCCAACCATTTCCAATGCTACTGTTATTTCCCTTAATCTAAGCACTTTCCTCCTGTTGATGCAACCTAAAACTGCATTGGTTTTTTTTTATAGCTACTGCATCACAGTGTTGGTTCATGTTTAGTTTGTGATCTATTTAAGGGATTCTAGGTCACCTTCATATGGACTACTGCCAATTCAAGCCTCTCCATTTCATTTTTATGGCCTAAATTAGCTTTAGTACCCGACAATGCTGAGTTAGGACTTTTGGAATGCTATTTATAAGAAACTAGCCATCCCCTGCCACGTGTTGCTGTGGCCCAGTCTGTATATATGTGTTTTGTGTGTGTATATATGTATATATATTTGTGTTTGCATAGATAGATAGATAGATAGATAGATAGATAGATAGATAGATATAGATAGGTGTATATATATGGGTGTATATATTTGTGTGTTTATGTGTACATGCATATGGTGTATATGTATGTGCTTGTCTATGCATATTTGTATGTATGTTCTTTAATATGTTGACCAAACTATAAATCCCAGAATTCAATAAAATGGAGCCAGAGCAAATAAAGAGATATTGGGATGTGTGTGCATGCAGGTGTATATGTATATATCTATGTGTGCATGTATATGTGCATGTGCATATGTGTATATATATGTGTATGTGTATGTATATGTAGGAGCCCCCGGTGGCGCAGTGGGTTAAAGCACTGAGCTGCTGAGCTTGTTGATCGAAAGGTCGCCGGTTCGATTCCACGGAGCGGCGTGAGCTTCCGCTGTCAGCCCTAGCTTCTGCCAACCTAGCAGTTCGAAAACATGCAAATGTGAGTAGATCAATAGGTACCGCTCCGGCGGGAAGGTAACGGCGCTCCATGTAGTCATGCCGGCCACATGACCTTGGAGGTGTCTACGGACAACGCTGGCTCTTCGGCTTAGAAATGGAGATGAGCACCACACCCCAGAGTCAGACATGACTGGACTTAATGTCAGGGGACTACCTTTACCTTTACCTTTACCTTTTTTTATGTATATGTATGCATGTATATGTGTATATTTGTGTGTGTTTGTGCACATATATGTGTGTGTATGAATGTGTCCATGTGCATATGTATGAGTGTATGTGTATATGTATATATGGTGCATTTTGGGGGTATTTAAGTCTGTTCCTCTGGGGTTTTGTGTGTGTGTGTGTGTGTTTATTAGGGCTGGGCGGTTTCGTTTTGTTAATTCGTAATTCGTTAAAAATTCGTTATTTTTTTTATAACGAAGCGATAACGAACCATTCTGGAGCAACCTAAAAACAAAACGAATTTTAAAATTTGTCTCGTAAATGCTTCGGATTCGTTATGCATTCTTTTCGTTATCGGTTTGAGGTCGTTTCGTTATTATTTCCGCATGTCTGGGGCAAGTTTTATAGTTGTTTTTTGTTTAATTAGTGAAAAAAAATTATAATATCACACCAACAGTCAACAACAGAGGGAGAGGGAAGCTTCAGAAGTTCCCCCTGTCCCATTTGGAGGTTTTTTAGCGTATTGCGCGGTCGCGTCCGCCATTAACGAATCGATTCGTTATTGTTTCGTATTTGTTTCGTTAATGTTTCGTAATTTTTTAACATTTACAAAATTTCGTAAATATCGAACTTTTTAAAAGAAAAATTTCGGAATTCTTTTAAATATCGAAACGCAAAAAACCCCAAAAAATGAATCGATTTTAGAAACAAATTTTTCCGTTGTTACCCAGGCCTAGTGTTTATGGGTGATGAACACTCATTGGACTGTTAGGTGTATTGTGTTCACATTTTGTGTCAATTCGTCCAGTGGTTTTTGAGTTATGTTAATCGCACAAATGAACATTACATTTTTATTTATATAGATTGTCACTTGTTTGCTTTTGCTTTTATGAAAGTTCCCATTAGAAAATGCATAACGACGTGAGAGTGAACTGCAACTCATGGGTGAATTCCCCGCAAACTCCATCAGCATTCAAAGTTGGTCATTTATTTATTTGTTATGTACTGTATTTATATACTGCTTTTCTCACCCCCCGGGGGGGGGGGGCAAAGCAGTGTACATCAAGTAATGGCAAGATTCAATGCCAACATAGATACAAAACCAAAGCATAATAACTAAAACAATAACATAACTATAAATTAAAACCATTAAAATCATGTTAAACATAGAATATAAACAAACATTAAAATTTTAGGACATAACATTAAAATCCCATAAACCAGAATTATAATCTGAAGCCATTCTTATTGCCAACTATTTATTATTTATTTATTTACTTTGCTTATATACCGCTGTATCTCAAGCCCGAAGGCGACTCACGGCGGTTCACAAACAGTAAAAACAGTAGAAACAGCAGTGGTTCCATACAACATATAACAATTGACTTAACACATTATCCATAAATTACCAATAAGCAATTACAATGCACAATTATTACAAAAAACAACCGTACCCAATCTTCTAGCCATCCCCTGCCACGTGTTGTAGTGGCCCAGTCTGTGTATATGTGTTGTGTATGTGTAAATATGTGTTTATATGTGGTTTTGACCATGCATTAATGTATTTTTTAGTTTGTTGGCTTTTAAAGTCTCTTCCATTGTGTTTTTCAGTGTTTTTATAAGTGAAGGACACTCATTAGGCTAATATGTGTTTTGTGTCCAAATGCGGTGTCGATTTGTCCAGTGGTTTTTGAGTTATGTTAATCCCACAAACGAATTTTTATTTATATAGATTGCATTTATTCCTATTCATTCTTGTACTGCTGTACTTTACTGCCTGAAGGCTTGGTCCCATAGTCACAACCTCTGAGGATGCTTGCCATAGATGCAGGCGAAACATCAGGAGAGAATGCCTCTAGAACATGGCCATACAGCCCCAAAAAACTACAACAACCATAATTTTCTGTTGCTCATGAAG